TCTGCACATTATAGCTGAATATGTCTGTATTGTGATGCACTTGGAAAATCAATTATAACTCTGTAACATAATACCGAACATTTCCACTCCCAGCTCCGTCCCTTTGCCTTCCTTCTCTTTCTTCCCCTGCTTTTGCATGCTATCCTAAGAGAAGGTAACAATATCAGAGCCATCGAGCAAGCTTTATGTCTTATGTTTGCCCTAGGACATCTTTTTGGTTTGAGCACCAAATTCAATCCTAGGTTTCCAATCAAAAGTAGTAAAAACCCATCCGCTGCTGCTGCCCAGAAAGCAGCTCCAGCCCGGCTCGGTCAGATAAATTGTAGGAGCTCATCCCTCTTCTATTTTCTTTTCATCTCAGACCTCCCCCAGTGGCCCACATTATAGCTGCAGATGGCCAGGGGAGATTCAGAAGCTGCAATCCATCAATGTAATGTTGCCTGAGCCACTGGACAGTGGCCCTGCTAACCGCTCCTCCAGATGGACCGTGCCGCTCCCTTTGGCCCTGTTTTTGAGCTTGGCCCACTTAGAGGAAAACTTTGGCCCTTATTTGGCCTCGCCTCAACTGGCGCCAAAGCCAGCTCTTGTTTCAGCACTCATTGTAATAACAAATGAACCAAGTTGTTTCTTTTTGGCAAGGTTGGCTGATTGTTTTGCTCTGACAGAAGAGTAAATACCAGGTGCTATTAGGTTTGCTTCTAGCAAGTGTGGTGAGACTTCTGCTGTGGACTTCATATTCACCTACAATTACAATTATGTCTAATAAGAGTCCATTTAACCTCTAATAATTTGAAGAAATACTTTTTTTTTCAGCGATCTCCCCTAAGGAATGCCATAAAAGGCTTTAGCGATCTGTAACGTGATGAAGGTTCTCTACTTTGTGGCAAAGGTCACATTTACCCAGCTGGGTCAAACAGTACTTTTAAATCCACAGATTAACCCAAGGAGCCACGATGTCTGCAAGATCATATCCACATCTGCTCAAGATCATTTCACCTATCTGCTGCTGTTCCATCCCAGGAAGAGGACACTTCAAGTCACGATGATAATAATTAGATAATAATTAATAAAACTCATTGATTTTATTACTGTTTAACATAATCTCATAAATGATCACTTGGTTAAGTATAGAGGTATTTTAATTACATGAAATGAATTTATGCTTTGGGTATAATAATAATAATAATAATTATTATTATATTAATGATTATGATGGCAGTAAAAGATGTGTTCAGCGTATCAGAAGGTCAGTTCACCTTATCCAGCTAACACAGAGTCCAGATAAACATAACTTCACACATGTTTTTGACGCATGATCAAAGCTTTCTTCCTGAGAGAGTGGGAGTGTCCTGGAGCTTGGTAAAACTGACCATCCCCAGCTTCAGAACGAGTTCTTGAACCAACACCGCGGAGGAAAAGGGGAACGGCCATCCCTGAAAACCTCCACCTGCTGTTCCAGTCACGCCGACCAGAATAGCTAAAGAATAAACGAACTGTAACCAGCTAACGAAGACTCTACCCAGAGTTGTTGATTTCTGAGTTAAGATGAAAAACTCCTTCAGAGTTACGGACTTTGAGAAGCAAATAGTTCCACCAGTCGAGTGACCCAAGAAGACATCTCAGGACGGATTTGGTCGTGCTAGAGGTTTTTCTACCAACCTCGTGCCTGGAGGAAACCCATCTCCACCTGGACACTTCTGATCCAAAACGGGGGTCTTCTGATTGGGTGAGGTAGACCTCAACAGAATGTGTTTGATGCTGTTTTCTCTCTAAATAACTCAGTTAGCCTCAAAACATCATTTTCATACAGAACGCTTCCAACTCTCTGTTAAAGGAACCTTCTACTAACCTCATCCACGCATCCAAACTCGTATTTTTTATGTAGCTTCCATTCAGCCACAGGTTTGCTTTTAAAACAGGTTTAATATCAAAGCTGTTTAAAAATTGTCATTAAATTGTCATCCTGGAATTGTCATTTTATAATTGTCGTTTCAAATCTTTAAGTTTAAAATTGTTAGTAATAAATGTCTTCATTTTTAAACTTGCCTCATTATTGAAACGAAACACAGAAAAGGTACAATATTTCTGGTTATTTGAAAGCAAAGATCCTAGCTTCTGATTCAAAATAACTTTTGCTATTAAATTTAAACATTAATCTTTGGATTAAAATTAGATCAAACAGGTTGATGTATGAACTTAGATTGATATATAAGTATCCGGGATATTTATGATATATGATATGAGCTTCATAGGTTAATCTGATTAGTCATTTTTCAGAATCTCCACTGAATAGCAACAGAGGTGATTTCAGTATGCAGTTAACTCTACAGATCTGACCAAACACATCTGTTGTACTCAGGACACCTCACCTAAAACTCTCGCCACTAAATCACCTGATACATGGAGATAAAAGCAAAGCTAGTTTAGGTGAGCTCTCCTCCCTCCAGGAGGAACTCCTGATAATTTGCTGTCCTTCAGGCTGTGAGTGGTGTTTTATCTGAGTTGATCTAAAACCACAAAGTCATTAATTTTGAGGGTTTGTTTGTTTCCCCCCCTCTGCTGGGATTTGATGTGCTCACGTTTCCATTTCTTGGATTGATAATGTGCAGTGCACCACTTGGAAACAATACTGCATCCCCAGCACACCCCTGTAAAATAGATGGTCTTCTTCCAGCTCCAGGCTGCCTGATAGACATGGAGGGAGATTGGTTCTGTTGAATAAGAGATGAATCTCTCTGAGTGTCACCGTGCCGCCACGACCTCTGAAATATCATTATCTACAGGGGAGGGAGGTTAACTTCTCTAATATAGCCTGAACGCAAGAGAGGGGTGCTACCAGTGAACACGATCCTGCTTTATTATCAGTATATTTCAGGAAAAGGCTTTTGTTTTGTTTTTTACTGCAGCTGCACAGTTTCTATAAACACCCAAACCTCTTTAATAACCTTTTCAACCTGAGGAATATTTGCAAAGCTTCAGTTTGTTACAAAAATTAAGGGAACCGGATCTTGACATGAGCACCAAGTCGGCAAGTCTCACAGCGGTGTTTATGATCTTAGCGTGCGTCTGTTTGGAATGTTTCCAGAACTCTTGCATGGACTTAACATTAAAAACATTAAAAACGATTACTGAGAGAAAATGTCTTGCTAAAAAGTTCTACTTAAATTTTTAGTTGTATTTATCATAAAATAATTATACAATGATCAGATAATCAAATTTTCTTATCACCCAAATCAAAATGGTTTTACTTGAATCAAACATCTTTTGACTTGGTTATGCGACAAAGCAGAAAGACAAGAAAGGTGATTCTCGGTTTACTGAAGTTCATTTGTTTGACTTTGCAACCACTTTAAACCATAAAAGATATTGATCTGTGCAAGATGTGATGCACTGGAACAGCAGCTCTACTGATACAGATGTGGGACATTAACGCTTCATAGTAAAATAGCTGTTGTATCAAGTACATTGACAATGTTTTTGCACATAGGCCCCAGTGTAACTACTGCCTCCCATCAGCGGTGTAAAATGTAAATGGCCTCTATTTCTATGGTGCCTTCTTAGGGTTCTACAACCCCCCAAGGCGCTTCACAACACATTCAGTCACCCACCCATTCACACAGCTGTGGGGATGAGCTACGATGTAGCCACAGCTGCCCTGGTCAGCCTGACAGATGCATTCACATGACAGGTGTACTGAGTGATACTATTATTATGATGACATCATACTGGTAATCTTTGAAAAAAAATACTTCTTTCTCAAATATGTATTTCAGGGACAAAATATGTGTTATTTATCAAAGTGGAAACATTTTTGAAAGGGTTGTGCTTTAACACCCCTTCCCCTAAAACAAGGGAATAAAAATGCTTTTTTTGTTCTTTATACATAAACATAAATAAAAATACTTGGGGATAAAACCTCATGGGTGCATGAAGTGGTTCAATCTGTGGCTACGTTCACGTTGCAGGCTTTGATGCTCAATTCCGATTTTTTTTTAGTTAATCCAATTTTTAGGGTCCTCCTTGCTGCAGTCATAAAAAAATCAGATTTGATGTGCCTTAGCCGGTTTGTTTCATCTTTGAACCAATAAAATCTGATTCTTTAAACTTTTAGATGCACCATTTGTTTGGCAGTTTTTCTCTAGAGAAGCCCCTTAAATTAAATAAATAATTAAAAGTGTACCCTTATTTAAGTGTCAAAACAGGAATGCCCAAAGTGCAGTCTGGGGGCCATCTGTGGCCCTCAGAGTGATTTTGTTTGGCCCTGATTGTGCTTTCAAAACAGTGTAATTCTGTCTCTCCAGCAGGCTGTTGGTGTTGTAGTGCCATGAATGTCCTGCTTTTGACCTAAAGGTCCTGATCGGCTGCGTCTCTGACACGGGCCTAATCTACATGAGATATTGGCCAAGGTCTTTCATGCACTCTGCTCATCTGATCTGCTTCACCCCTGTTATAGCTCAAGACGAAGACGAAGAACAAAGAAGACGAAGACGGACACGTTTTACAATCTTATTATTATGCCCATTCTAACAGTAGAAATACAAAAAACTATAATATATAAAGTAATTTTTAGATTTTTTTAAATACAAAACTCACATTTTTGTGGCCTGTGAATACTTTTAGCTTGTGGCCACGTTTTGAGGAGTAGAATTAATAGAATTCATTACTTTGCTTTATTGCATTAAACCACAATGCTGATTTGATTTATATCAGCAAACAGTGTTTTTGTATTTATTCATAACTGGTGCTGAATCAGTCTATACATGTTTTTTTGTCATTCTGAGGTCAGGACAGCTAGAAGAACACACTTTACTTCATTAAATTTTACTCTAACAGTTCTTTTTAAATTCATAATTGTGATGTTTTCTCAACTTTCACGCCCTGGTTGTGCTTCGTTTTATAAAACTAATCAGACAAAAGTATGCAAAGGAAATGAAGTGTGATATCTTCAGCTCTTCACCTGCATTACCGAGTTGCTTTCTCTTTCTTATATTTTATATTAGGGATGCTCACACTGGCCCCGAAAGGCTTCAGCTGTCCTGATGGTGAGAATAACTGCAACCCGTGTCTCGATGCAACCAAAGCTTGCAACCTCAACAGCCTCTGCAAGAAGCAACGGTCCAACTTCATCATCACTTGCAGCAAGGAGGACCATAACAAAGGAGAGACCTGCAACAAGAAGCGCTGCCACAAGGCACTGAGGGCATTCCTGGACCGCGTTTCCCCGGAGCTCAGTCACCGGCTCCTCTTCTGCCCCTGCCAATCCGAGGGTTGTGCTGAGAGACGCAGGCAAACAATAGTACCTGATTGCTCTTATAAAGACAAAGAGGAGCCCAACTGTTTGGAGCTGCGGAGGATCTGTCGCCAGGATGCTCTCTGCAGGTAAAGGAAAATGTTCGTGGGTGTCTGTTTTGGTCTGTTTATGTAGTTGTGTAGATTTTTTGGTGCTTCTTTTTGTTTTGTTAACTTCTTGCAGAAATTCTAGCGCTGTAAGACAAATCCTCATCTGGTTTATTATTATCTTACTTTTATGTGAAAATGAGGTGAAAAAAAATGAACTGTAAGGGTTCTGTCTTGTTTGGAAAGTCCTCCCATTTACTTCCTCCTAAAGTTTGACATTTCTCCACTTTTGCCAGCAGAGTAATTAGACTTTTAGGGAAGTCAGATGCAGAATGAAGATGTGAGGGTAAGTTGAAGGGACAACGCTCAATTAGGCTGAACAAAACATTAGTGGATCACTTTGGCTGCACGTGCCTTCTATCGGATTCAAGCAGCCAGATTCAATTCACACCTACCCAGCCGTGACATGTTTCCTCATGTTAGTGCTGCTCAGAGCAGGTGCTTAGAGCCAGATCAGCTGTCAAGATCTTTTACCTCCAGGACCATTTGACCATCAGTGGGCTTCACATGGTCCTAAAGGAGAAGCTAGAGGATGGAGAAGGTGGTCTTTATTATTAGTAGTATTTTAGCGTTAAAAAACATGCAGTGTTAGAATAATCTCAAGCATTTAAAAGCTCATTTATGAGACTAATGGAGTTCAATCAAGTGTTAGACCCTTGAAAGCGTGCTGCTAAATATAATACTGGTGATGTGAGAATTAACAAAAGTGAAAACTTTTAGCAACTTTTTCATTTCCCAGTGTGACAGATGATTAGGCAGCTGATACAGTTCAGCGACAGTCGGTGACAAGTCCTGACAACATTCAGGTCTAATAAACCAAATAGCTGCCTAATTTATATGCAGGCACGAAGCATGATGATAGCACCGCCATGAATTTTTATTCGCAACAAAATCATGAAACCCCATTCCTTCAAAAAGGCGTCTTTGCTGAAATATGAGCATTTCATGTTGACAAAACTAACATGGCAGCAAATGCTGAAACTTTGATTTTTTTTAAACAAACGTTTTGACAACACACAGGTTCTCAGAGATAGTTCAGATAATTTTCTTAAGAGGGTTTCTGTGGAGATAAAATAAATTAGTTCTGGGCTGCATGGTGACACGGTGGTAAGTGCTGTAGCCGTGCAGTAAGAAGGTCCTGGGTTCACATCCTGGCCTGGGGCCTTTGTGCAAGGAGTTAGCAAGCATGTTCTCCCTGAGCATACGTGGGTTCTCTCTGGGTACTCCGGCTTCCTCACAGTCCAAAAACATGACTGTCAGGTTGAATGGTCTCTCTAAATTGTCTTTGGGAGTGAGTGTGTGTGGGCATGGTTCTTTGTCCTGTGTGTCTCTGTGTTGCCCTGCGGCGGACTGGCAACCTGTCTATGGTGTACCCTGCCTGCAAGCCCTTAGAACGCTAGAGATAGGAACCAGCTCCCCACGACCCTGCGTGAATAAGTACAGAAAATTGATGGATGGAAGAAATTAGTTCTGCCTGGCTTGATGAGCTAATGGCTAGTCCAAAATGGGCCAAAATGGGCCAAGTAAATTGCTAAAATGATAAAACCCTAATGTAAACATTTCTGTAGATCTTCATGCTTCTTTGGTTTTGGAAATAAAATATTGACTGTAAAGTGACAGTGTGTAGTTTCCTGGTGTTAGGGGGCAGTACAAACCTTTCAGGGTAGTTTTACACCATATCACCGTGACTGTCGCTAGTTTAACTCATTCACTGCCAGCCATTTCCTGATCAGTAAAGCCCTTCGCTGCCAGTGTTTTTCAGCGTTTTTACATTTTTTTTAAGAGTCACAGAACGTTGTGCTCTATGATGATGTCAACACCAAAACTACCAAAACAAAGAATAGACTCACCTCTTACATCAGGAAGAATCCGCGTGTTTCGAGTGTTATCCATTCTTTCATAATGCGTTGTCAAACTGTGATCCGCAGAAGCTTTTCTGGTTCGCGCCTCACTTTTTTACAGCAGCAGCGACCCAAATCGATCTCCTAACACATGGATTTTCTGCTTCCTGATGATGGGACGTGATGTGACGTGTGACGTACGCAGATGAAAATTGGCTTTAGAGCTGGAATGTTTGTTGTCACGGTGTGGGAGCTCATTCCGACTCCCACACAACAAAAAATTGTTTGGATTTAAAATGACGACTTTTGTCTGAGCGCTTCTTGGAAAGTCGCACGATAGTCACAACACACACGGGACTTGAAAACAGAAAGCGGGAAGTGACTCTATTGTTTGTACTTGCCGTCATGTTTTGTGAGACTAATTCAGTAAAAATGTATTTATTAGAATATTTTAAGATCAATAGTACTTTAAATTTATCAAAACCTCTGGGTTCGTGCCGTAAAGCCCTTCTGCCTCATAATGTCTGTTGTAAAGTACTCCACAATCTTGTGAACAGCCGCATCGCCACCACGTTTGAGATAGAACTGGCACCAATCATCAGCGCCTTGGCAAGGCGTTTCTGGGATGTGGTGCTTCCTGTGTAGCCACTCGCATTAATTAAAATGGTGTATATTTAAAATGACGGCATGACACGGGCGCATCTGTCTCCGGTGTGCCTTATGGGATTAAGCATAATAATGTAAATAAAATCATTCAAATGACGCATATAAAAGTTAAAATGCATTTACAACTCAGTGTGACTCGTCATATTAGGCAGTTTCCCAGTGAACTAGACCATCCATCCATCCGTCCGTCCATCCATCCATCCGTCCGTCCATCCATCCATCCATCCATCCATCCATCCATCCATCCTCTTCCACTTATCTGGAGTTGGGTCGCGGGGGCAACAGCCGAAGTCGAGAGGCCCAGACTTCCCTCTCCCCATCCACTTGGGCCAGCTCTTCCAGGGTAATCCCAGGGCATTCCCTGGCCAGGTGAGAGACATAGTCTCTCCAACGTGTCCTGGGTCTCCTTTTAGTTCTCCTTCCGGTTGGACGTGCCCAGAAAACCTCACCGGGGAGGCGTCCAGGACGCATCCTAACCAGATGCCCAAGCCACATCAGCTGGCTCCTCTCGACGTGAATCAGACCTTTCAAGAAAAGTACAACTCCAGTAATAAACTTTAATCATAACTGGAGAAGACATTGGAGGAAGAGCTGAAACTAATTTAGCAAAAAAAAAAAAATTCTACTTTAGTCCTGTTCAACTCTTTGAATCATCAGTCACGTGATATCAGAGAATCCACACCAGCACATTACTTGATTTTAATTTTCTAATGACAGAGAAGCAAGTTTTGTAAAGCAAAACAAATAAAAAATATGACAATTCACGCTGACAAAAGTTGACACACAACAATCTGTGGATGCCAGCATTCTTCTGAAAGATCCCTAGCACCCGTTGCACAGAGAGCAACCCTGTGAGTGTTCCTTTCCACCAACACTAAATGCACCCACAGCCAAAGTAATGAAACTCTATCAGCTCTCCTCCAATTTATGATTGTCTAGATAATTACCTGCTTGCCTGCATTGTGTCATCTCTTTTCAGCTTTGAGTTGCTTTCTTTGACCTTTAGGCCCTCGAGTGTCTGCCGTGCATCTCCTCGTTGAGAAAGATGAAACAGAACGTTAAAGCTCATTATCTGTGGCTGTGTAATGCCACGCTGAGGTCAACAGCTCGATGAGTGTGTGCACACACTCGTGCTGCGTGGACACACGTTGGCCTGTGCACCAACAGACCAACAACCGTTCACGGCTCAGTGACGCACAAACTCTCACTTAGCCACTTTGAGTTTGGAGGTAATTCTGATCATTTCTGTACATTCTTCAGCAGTGAATAAGTGCTGCCATGCAAGAAAATGTCTCTGTAATTCAGACACAGTCAGGCTTTTTGACGCTTTTCGAGTAATTTCTTTCTCAGCGTGAGATTTAAACGATCTAAAACATCACTTTGATCATTCTTTAACCAACAGATCACGTTTCCAAAAAGCTAACTGCATTTTTTTAAATCTTCTCATTGAGATTTGTTTTGTGCAACTCTAATTATTAAAACAGTCCACGTTCTTTAGCGCTGTTCTTTACTCTGATAGAAGTGTCAGTGAAACCAAGATGGAGATCATTTAGCGACGTGTCTTTTTTGCCTCAGGGACACCTGTTTGACTCAAAAAGAGGACACACAGCTTGTCAGCGCCATTTCAGTTGAGCACAAGGGATGAATAAAGAGAGAAGGGGGTGAGGGAAGGAGAGAGATTTAATGAGACAGAGAGGCGGAGGAGAAAAGGGAGGTTCTGCAGAATCAATGTGGACCATAAAGCTACTGCAGTCAGTTAGAGGTCAGTGGTTTGTTCACATAGCTATGGATCTCTGCAGCTACAGGCCTTTTTAATGACAAGTTTGTAGCTCCCTGCAACTCGTGCATGTGGAGAAAAAGTGTCAGAAATAAACACAGAGTTAAATTTCTACTTACTTTTTTAAATGAACTTAGTTGATGTTTAATCATCCTAGCTGGAATGCTAAAGCTTCTGTATATTGGGTGCCAACTTGGATTTGATTTCAGCTTTGAAGAAGGTTTAGATTGTTCCAGATGGATCAAACCCTTAAAAGGATTTCAATTATATCATTTTGGCTCGGGGTTTGTAGCCATATTGGTCTGGGAGATTTCATCCTGTTCCCAGTGTCTGTGGAGGTGATTGTTGGCTTATTCTGGAGACTGAGATGGACGCAGAACAAGTATTAAACAAAGCAGCTCTTATTTCTTACACCTGCTCTTACCTCTGAAAAGCATTATTCTTTATTATTTTGCACGAACGAAAACCTAGAGCAAAAGGCTTTCCTGTGTGTTGGTGTGCCCCTCGCTTTCTCTTTTTCCATGTCCCTTCTTGTATTGTGAAATTATTGTGCAGTTTTTTTAGCTTGTGCATGTCCCTGTGTACATCTGCTTGTACATACAAGCAGATAAACTCCTCCTTTCTTTCCTTTGACAGCCGAACCAAAGAGCATCGGGTTGTATTTGTTCTTGCACTGCATTGATTGTCCGAAGGATCAA